CACGGACGTCCTCGTTAGTAAAACATATATCAGAATGATAGATAATGATAAGTCACCACATTAAACTTTAATAATAAAGTAATAATCGATTTTAACATGTTTAGTGTTAAACTTTAATAATAAAGTAATAATCGATTTTAGCATGTTTAGTGTTAAGTATGACCACTGTTTAGAGACTAATCGAACCAATATTGTCTTCACATCAAAGATAAGTGTGTGGCGTAAGTGTCCAATATTTTACATGTGGAAAAATTGCATGTTTTACAAGTAGCAAACCCATCCCTTTTTTTTTTTTTTTTGTAATTTATTATTGTTAAGGGGAGGGGGATAATTTTCTTGTTTGCATGTCCTACAAGTAGCAAACCCATCATAGATTTGTTTTTTTAAAAGGAGGAGAGAGTTTGAAATTATTACAATAATTTAAAATGAAGAGTTCGAACTATCACATATGTATAGAAATTCAACACCCTGCCCATATAGCCGGTTGCAACTGCATGTTTCTATTGCTTGCGTGGTCTGCACTAGCTACAATTGGAAATCTTTAGGGGATATGATAACATTATTCAAATCTGACTTATTAGCCACTTTATTACCAAATAAAGATGGATGAAAGATTCATGTAACCCATGCAATAATTGACATGTTGCCCCCGAGCCAATAGTTGATACGTTTGGTTAATTGTAAACCTCTTCTTATCCATCATTCAACTCACCTTCATCACTGGATTAACCCGAGTTCTTGGCACTACGTATATGTATTAATTTATAAGGAGGTATTTTCCAATTTCCTTCCAAACTTGTAAGGAGTTGCTAATTTTTTTCCATGAATTTTAATTTTAACCAATTATCTCCTCAACTTTTTTTATTAGCCAATTTCCCCTGGTGTTAAATTTTGGAATTCTCTTAATTTTCTATCCATTTGGGTCACATTGTAGATCTTCGAGGGCAATAAAGTAGTTTTATCCCTATATGGACAACAAACTTTTTTTTTTCTTCTTTCGCTAATTAGCTCCGACACTTTCTGTTTGAATTAGTCATGGGAGTCCAATGTAGCTACAAAGTATTGGCTAAGCGCCCAATTTTCTAAAACACAATTATCATCTTTACTTCATACAATTGCCATGTGTTGTTCGGGTGACCAAAATGGATGGAAATTAAATTGGATGAAAATTTCAAAATAACGCCAGAGGGGAAAATGGCAACTCTATACAATGTCGAGGGGAGGAAATCGACAAATAGGTCATTTATAAAAGGTTACTATATTCCTAGGTATAATATATTACTTGAAGAGATATGCTTAGGAGACTTTCTGCTATTTCACAGTTTAACATCGATTCTTGTACCAACATTATAAAATATTGTGCTGAAAATATGAGTAGCAGAGAGTCCATAAAGATTTCTACTTTGAGAGTCTCCTTAACATTTTTTATTACTTGAATCATCGTGATGCATGCAATCATTACAATAGATTGATAAAATCTTAGATATAATAGATTATATTTGGCATGCTCAACGTGTGTACTGAAAAGTCTTTATCAAAATATTTTTTTTATATAAGATACTTAGCAGAAAGGAGGCAAATTGCCTGCCCTCATGTTATGGTGCCATTCTCATCCCCTTCTATTTGTGCAGTCCCGGTTAGGCCATGTCAACATTTTATATATATTTTTTTTTATAGAGATAATAAGACAAAAAAAATAGGAATATAAAATGTTGACATGGCTTAACCGTGACCGCACAAATAGAAGAAGATGGGAAGGGCACCATAACAGGAGGGCAGACAATCTGTCTCCTAGCAGAAATTGGTGATGCAAAATCTTAAAAGATAAGAGCTAATTCATTGGAATTCAAAAGAGTACTAAATTTACAATATTTTTATAAAATTTAATTCATGAAAAGTTTAAAATTATTAAAAAAAAAAAAGAGACATTGAATGCATGCGATGACATTAAATAGAGTATAAAGACTAAAATCAATTTTTAATCTTGTGTAAGACAAGACAATATTAAAAATTAATTTTAGTCAAAGACTTTCTCACTCTTAGCGTAGATACCATCGTTTGTTTTTTTTAAAAAATTCTTGTATAAGACATTTTTTGTCTTGCCCCAATCCCGACATATGTCCAGGATTGACACGTGATGTCACCAATTACATGTATATCTAACATAGCCCGCCTCCGGGATATGTACAAAGCACAACTCACGATCCAACTACGTAGTAATTTTGTGTACACTTTATGGATGCATCTAACCTCGTTGCTAGACTGCCTACGTACCCTAAATAGGGATCAAGTCATTCGTAGTTCGTCATTCATCAAACTCTAACCTTTTCATAAAATACTTTTAGCATAAAACATAAAGTACCACACTACATATCAACCATAAGCCAAACAATAATTATCATCTTGCCATGCACACAGGTATACCATTCACACATATATGCTTTCTAACATCATTCCACAATCACATCAATCAATAACACATACCATACACCGAAATGCAAGGCTAGAGCGACACAGTTTGGTCGAAGCCTACATCTATGAAGCTGAAATCAAATACAAGGAACCAATAAGTCAAATGATGTGATTTCAGACCACTCAACGAAATCCATCAACATCAGGGTTCTAGACCACTCAACGAAACCAAGACACAAAAGGGGATTCCGGACCACTCAACGAAATCCAAACCAGGATACAATTCCGAACCACTCAATGGAATCACGGAGTAGAAGGGATTCCGGACCTCTTAATGGAATCCGAGTGGATACGATTCCGGACCACTCAACGGACTCGCGGAGTACAATGCATATCGAACCACTTAATGAAATCCAAGCTAAATACAATTCTAGACCACTCAACGAAATCCATATGGAGCAGGGAACCGAACCACTATACGGAACCCCATCGAAAACCCAGTTATCGATCACTCAACGGAACCAAGCGGAAGTCCAAGGAATATAGCAACGACTCTAAGAAACAATACAAGAACCAAGTACTCAATTTAGAAGGTTGAACGAAATGAAACAAAACGCAAGTACTAAGTTTAGAACGGATCAACAAAGCAAGATATGAAACGATATCGAAGCAATGAATCCCCATGACAGTGGGTTAATAGTCCACTACTAGCCCTCACATTTCATCACATCATACCAATCATACAAATCAAACCACATTCCATAAACATTTTTAATGCACAAATCAAAACATACTTAATAAACAAGTATAATATAATATGATGCCACTAGTACGCGAATCGAGTCACACGTCATCACGATGAGCCCATCAAGCTCCATAAAATCTCAACTGCACTCTAAGATAACCGACACTCTAGAAGAACTCGGGCTAGTTGACTAAAAAGCCAACCTTTGATCAAGGTCGAGAGTAGGGTCCACAACCTTAGAAATCTAAATTGGAAGATCCGCCAATCAGATTTCTGATCCATAGCTTCCAAAAGTCCACATTATGCTTCTAGAACAACATACTAAAATTTCATTATGATTCAACGGTTAGATCTCCACCAATAATAAATTCAAGTGGCGGTCAAAGTTTGATTTACAAACTTAGAAATCCACTTTGGAAAGATCCGCACATTGGATTCCCGATCTACCAGATCATAATGTTCTCAAATATTACATACTATTACATATTAAAGTTTGGTGCTGATCCAACGGTCGGATCGTCAATTTATATGATAATCAAGTGAAGGCCAACTAGGCGGTCAATTAGGAAACTATGTTAAAACATCGGAATTTCACTAAACAGATGTCAAATATGTAATTTGGGCATCAAAATTAGCCTAGGATGGTCCGATGAGTTCTCAGCCCACGCGCCGCAGCCACGCTCTGCTGCCCACGGTGACCGGCCGCCCTGACTCGCCGGAAAATTCAACTAATTCCAAAATTTACCAAATTTTACCAAATTGAAGATCTTAATTAGTGGAGCAAGTTTCATACTTGTGACTAAAGCCAATTTGGCCGGAAAAAGCCTCAAATCGCTATGAACCTGCCAGAAACCCTAGAAATTGGTGGCTTTGATTCGACTTCTCCGGTGTTCCGCCGCCTCCAAGGTTGTTTGGGCTTTGTTCCTAGCCTCAAGGAGAGTCTAATGGTGGTGGAGATCGATGTGCTTGCATTCAGAAATGGCCGATCGCGGGCGTGGTCCGTTGGACCCACTGGTGAGATTCTTCGTGATTCCAAGCCCAATTTCTTCGAATTTGGGGTGGAAATGGTAAGGAGACGGTCCTGGAGTACTTCCTAGGTGGTGGGTCAGCTTAAAACGCCAAAATTTGGCCGAAGGAACCAACGGGTTCCATTGTTTCCGACCGGGTTGGGTCGCAAGGGGAAATGGGCGGAATTATTCGGTGCCGTCCCCTCCCCCTCTCTCCTTCCCCTCCTTTCTCCCCCTTTCCTCTCTTCTCTTCTGTCCATCTCTCTCCTTTCTCTCCTCCACTCTTCATCATAACTGTCCACGTGGCTCAATCTAATTGCTCCAGAAAATCTGGAGCCTTTTAGAGTGAAGGTTAAATTTACTAAAATGCCCCCAACTTTAAACGTTAATAACTCCTTCGTTATAGCTCCAAATTACATTCCGTTTACGCTCATGTGCTTGTATCGACGAGTAATATCCAAATACGTAAAGAAAAATGGAAAAATACATACGCATAAAATATGTCCTCAAAAATTTCGTTTAGTCCATTAAGGGTGTTTTCATCCTTTTACTAAAAAAATTATGCACCGCAAATATAGACGGGTTGAAATTAATAATACAAAAATACGTAATTTTAAATAGTGAAATCCGGAGATGGGATTTCACATTTTTCTAAACTTCATCTTATTTAAGGATTAAAATATAGTTTTCTAACTATTTATCTTAGGGAGCCTTAATGAAAAAGGCTTGGATCCAGAATATTTTAACTAAAGACCATCCTATAGTTTTCTTTAACCAAAAGCACCTCAAAATTAATCATAAGACAGGGCCTCCAAATTCGACATGGGTTGGATTACAGGGCTCAACATAGACAAAAATAAGTTTCCAAAAGTACCCTTAACAGAAGAAAACCCTCCAAGGTCGACAAGAAGATCGCCTACGACTCCAAGCTTTGCTCCCTCCTCGCCGAGTATGGCTAGGTCCTCATTGTCGCCGCCGACAACGTCGGCTCCAAGCAGCTCCAGAACATTCGCAAAGGGCTGCGCGGAGACTCCGTCGTTCTGAAGGGGAAAAACACGATGATGAAAATGCCTGTCAGGATCCATGCGGAGAAGACGGGCAACAATGCCTACCTCAACTCGTCCCCCTCTGTGGTCCATTCTTTGGCTCCATTTGTGGTTGCTGATTTGTTTGTATTCGTTGGTTTTTTGATTTGTTGTTGTTTTTGGGATTTAGGTAAACGTCGGTCAGATTTTCACAAAGGGTGATTTGAAGGAAGTCAGCGAAGAGGTTGGCAAGTACAAGGTAACCGAATTCGATTTCCTTTTTCGTTGTTCGAATTCATGATATTATCAATTTTAATGCATTTTAGTTGTTGTAGTGATGTAAGATGCTTATTGTGTTATAGGAAACTATAATCTGTAATTGTTTTTTGCCTAGATTTCAAATTGGTATGAAATTTAAACCCAATTTGTTGAATTATCCGTAAGAGTAAAATTATGAAGGTTCTGCTGTTTTTGAATGTGAGTAATCTAGAGTTACTGCTTCTCTAGTATACCTTAGCAGGAGGCATCTTTTATCGACTTGGATGATTATTTATCGAGTTTTCATATTTTATATGGGTTTAGTTTGCCTCATGATAATTTTAGTAAGTTTTCCAATCTATCCCATTTTGTTTTTGTGTTTTACTATATCAATCTAATTCCTAGGAGTATTTTATTTTGAATTGAATAGGCTGGAGCCCATGCTCGTGTTGGTTTGGTTGCTCCAATTGATGTGGTGGTTCCTCCTGGTAACACTGGTCTTGACCCATCTCAGACCTCTTTTTGACTTGGTATGTTTCACATTTCAGGTGCTCAACATCCCCACCAAGATCAACAAGGTTACTGTTGAAATCATTACCCTTGTTGAACTTATCAAGAAGGGAGATAAGGTTGGCTCTTCTGAGGTTGTCCTCCTTGCCAAGCTTGGAATCAGGCCATTCTCATATGGTCTTGTTGTCCAGATGGTGTATGACAATGGTTCCGTCTTCAGCCCAAATGTGCTTGATCTGACTGAGGATGATCTCATGGAGAAGTTTGCTTCTGGTGTCTCGATGGTCACTTCATTGGCGTTAGCCATCTCATACCCCACCTTGGCAGCTGCACCACACATGTTCCTCAATGCCTACAAGAACGTGTTGGTAATTTCTATTACCATCGATTAGAAAGGGTTGTTTCGATATTTAACAATGGCAGTAAGCTACCATGAGATATCCATCCACAAAGACATAAACCTCTTGTATAATTATAGCAAATAGTATACACAATCATGTATGAATTATAACTTTCACCATATCTTTTTTCTTTCTTCTACTATAGATATTGAGGGACGGGCTGTTACAGTGGGTAATTTTGCTGTAGTTTTAGAAATAATGTGAGTAATTTTGCTGTAGTTTCATAAATAATGTGGTAATTTGCTGTAGTTTCATAAATAATGTGAGTAATTTTGTTGTGGTTTCATAAATAGTGTGGTAATTTTGATGTAATTTCATAAATAGTGTGGTAATTTGTTGAAGTTTTAAAAATAATGTGAGAAATTTTGTTGTAGTTTCATAAATAGTGTGGTAATTTTGCTGTAGTTTCATAAATAATGTCGGAATTTTGTTGTAGTTTCAAAAATAGTGTGGGTAAAGTTTCAGAAATAGTGTGAGTAATTTTGTTGTAGTTTCATAAATAGTGTGGTAACTTTGCTGTAGTTTCATAAATAATGTGGGTAAAGTTTCAGAAATAGTATGAGTAATTTTGTTGTAGTTTCATAAATAATGTGGTAATTTTGATGTAGTTTCATAAATAATGTGGTAATTTGTTGTAGTTTCATAAATAGTGTGGTAATTTTGCTGTAGTTTCAGAAATAGTGTGAGTAATTTTGTTGTAGTTTCATAAATAATGTGGTGACTTTGTTGTAGTTTCATAAATAATGTGAGTAATTTTGCTGTAGTTTCATAAATAGTGTGGTAATTTGTTGTAATTTTAGAAATAATGTGAGTAATTTTGTTGTAGTTTCATAAATAGTGTAGCAATTTTTCTATAGTTTCATAAATAGTGTGGTAATTTGTTGTAGTTTTAGAAATAATGTGAGAATTTTGTTGTAGTTTCATAAATAGTGTGGTAATTTTGTTGTAGTTTCACATAGTCAAGATAAAGTTTCAAAAATAGTGTGAGTAATGTTGGTATAGTTTCATAAATAATGTGGCAATTTGTTGTAATTTCAAAATTAATATGAGTAATTTTGCTGTAGTTTCATAAATAATGTGGTAATTTGCTGTAGTTTCTCAAAAAGCCAAATAACACTAAACCACATGTTAATTTTTAACTTGAAAAACAAAACTCAGATATCCAAATTTAGTAACACCGCAAATTCTAAATCAGAAAACCCAATTCATGTTCATCACTGGAAACAAAACTCAGAGTACATAAGGCTTTCTAAGTTCAACAGCAACACACTCCTTGCAACCTCGAAGGCGTTCATCGCCTATAACCTATCTAATGTGCAGACTGCAGAGCCATCTTCACACAACATTTCTCTGATGCCTCCACTGAATTGCCAAAAAAAACAAAAAAAATGAGTTATGCAAATGAAAGCAACCATTGTCTTGTAAATAACGGACATCATGATTGGCTACAATATGCTGACCAGAAACATTGTTTTGTAAAGTACCCAACCAACGGGGCACTATGAGAACGATTTGGTTCCAAGAAAGAGAAAAGTAAGTTCATTTAGCTGCAATCACAAAATAAGTATATGTCAAAACTAGACAAAATTTTATACATCAAATTCCTTATTCAAGATTAAAACTAGATGTAGCTTACTGTTCGATAAGTCCATAATTTGGAGTGAAAGCTTGAAGTTGCGGATGAGCTTCTCATGAGGACCTTCGACCTCGATGATCTTGGTGTGGACTTTGATCTTGACACTGTCGGGGATGTCCGTCGTCTTAGAGGATAGGATGGTCTCAGCCATCATCTAATTACTAAAAATTAATCACTTCCAAATGCAAATCTCAAATCCCAAATGCAATCTTGTAAGTTCAACTAGACTACCCATCCTGACATTATTCTGCCGTGATGACTACTGGAATAGCTATTTATGAAATTGTACCAAAAACTAGATATTATTTATGAAACTGGACCAAGAAAGAGACATTATTTATGAAATTGTACCACTTACTGTACACTGTTTACGAAAATAGATAAAGAACCAAACACTAATTATGAAACATGACAAAAAACTAGGCATTATATATGAAAGTGGACCAAGAGCTAGACACTATTTATGAAACTAGACCAAGAATGAGACACTATTTATGAAACTATGCCAACTACTATACATTATTTATGAAACAGTACCCAATAACTAGGCACTATTTATGAAAGTAAATCATGAATTAGACACTATTTATGAATCTGGACCAATAAATAATGTTGTACCGTTCAATTTCATAAATAGTGTAATACCGTTTAGTTTCATAAATAGTGTAGTACCAGTCAGTTTCATAAAATAGTGTTCGGTTTCATAAATAGTATAGTACCATTCAGTTTCATAAATAGTGTAGTACCGTTAACTTTCATAAACAGTATAGTTTTGCTCAATTTCATAAACAGTGTCTGTTATGGAGCGTGAATTCTGCACGTTAGGTTCTTTTTAATAATTTTAAATCTATCTTCATTTCCCATGCCCTTTCACTCGTAAGCAACTCATGCTTATTAGAACTTTGCCGTTCTCCTTTCACAAAGTTTGCCGATGATAAACATGGAATCTCTAATATCAAATACTTACGCATTTTTCCATGGAAGGGATGGTAGATTGCACATATAACAAAGGCAAATACATGTATTTGGAGGCCTTACTTTTCAAATACCATTAGAATATGCCTTCACTAATCTCGATTCTCAAACAAGATAACAAGCTTAGCACCATTGCACATGGCAATTATGCGGTAGTTATAGAAACATTTAGACTATTGTAATCAACATTCATACCAATTCATCTGGGATTTGATACCCCAATGACAAATTACATCAATCTAAGCCGATACCAACCTTGTATAATCTATTAAATTAGAGCCAATTCTCTTTTGGCATCTTCTTCTCCACAAGAGCATTTTCAAGGTCTAGTAACATCTGAGATAAATTGTCCGTACACTGCCTTTCTGGTGCTGAGACATCCCCAATATCATAGAAAGCATGATCTGAAAACAAACAATTAAGCAAAGCCTCAACATCAATCCGAACATTTAATTCACGATCCGAGACTCCGAAACTATATTTCTTGATTCCTCAATTAGCTATACACATATTAATTAAATAAGAGCTTCGAAAGCATAACACGACGACATCGCTGTAGGGGGAGACAGTGAATTTTGAACGGAGCTGTAGACTGTAGTCCTTGGAACATATATGTGCTTCCTAATTCACCATCAGAATTCTCACCAATGTACATATCTGCAACAATTCCCCACCTTAAAAGACAAAAGAGCCAAGATTTACCCCAACCATAAATGCGTACTACGCTGCGCATACCCACAGATTTCGATTGGAGGAGGTCGAAGCTTGGGCTTTGCGTCCCATGACGAAGGAAGAAGTGGATTTTGATTTAGTTTGAAAAGAAAATTACCTGATGAATCGAAGAATCACAGAATCAAGACACACGAAATCTCCTTGACAAACAGAGATGAGAAACTAGCAGAGAGAAAATGAGTATCAAATCCGTAGAATCCTGTAGAAGCTGTACATAAACTCTTCTCTTCATTTGGAATGAAACGGACAAAACAAACGGTGCAATGTTAATGTCCTTGTGTGTACATATCCTCCTTTTATATAGAGATTAATTGGGAAATATTGTGACTAATCGTGTAATGTATGAAAATAATTAACGATTTATATCTCATTAGATTTTGCATGATTGGAGCTAAGAAGAAAGCGTGATATTGAAGAAGTGTACAGAAGGAATATTTTTAAGCAAACACGAGGGAGGGAATAAGAAGATTATCATCATAGACATAGTTGTGGGGTATGTCAATAACAAGAAGAAGATGATGGATGAGAAATTAGTTGACACCTAGCTCAGGTTCGATATGTTGATGATGTATGCCATCATTGGCAAAGAGTGTAGCAAATCAGAATGGGAAAAGATTTTTTTGGCTGCTGGATTCACTTACTATATATAACATCACTCAAACGCTCGGTTTAAGGTCTCTTATTGAAGTTTACCCTTGAAAATAAATCTTCCTACTATTATTGTATCAATAAAATTATGTATACACATGCTCTAGCTAATATTGGTCGCCCTACTATTATATTCCATACGTAGTATGTACTAGATTAAAGAGTGTGTCATCGACTGTCAGTTTTTTGTGACAAATAAATAATAAGTGAAGTGTGTATAAATGCACTAATTTTGTGTGTTCAAATAATATCACTTAATTAATAATGATACTGTATGCGCCATTTGCATGTAATATACAATATATACAACCAACGAGATGAATTGTCTTTTTATCTATTTCTTTGGGTGAGTATACATGTTAGTTTGAATGGATTTTTCTCCGGTTTTTTTGTTTGTTCGTAACTTTTTAATTTATGCTTGATACCACCTCTTATGAAATAGAAAATTTAAACTGGAGGAGTGAGATTTGAATATTATAAATTTGAAAAAGTACTGTTAAACCAAGAAATTTTGTCCTAGATCATCACACATAACCACCATAGTTTGTGATATTATATGACTCACATTGTAATCCAAACAGTCAGAAAAAGCCCCAGTGTCCGTTTGAGGTAAATTATTGGACAATTTCTTACAAAAGGTTTTGATTGCAAGACCCTTTGGTAAAGCTGTGTATGAGAAACCTATGGTGTGAATTTAAAGCGAAACTTAGCTTTCGTTTCAGATTTTGCGCGAACCAAATTGGCCTCGTTTGCAATTCCCTCTTCTTCAAAGCTGATTCATTCTTTCTTCGTCTCTCACCCACGTGAAAGGAGAAAAAAGACTTACTAAAATTTCACATAAATTGTAGACTGATTTAGTAAGCTGAAAATAGATCACATAAATTCAGAATATCTTCAAGCTGAGAATGAAGGTCTCCAATATATCGTAGCACAATCTCTTCAAGGTCATTCCGGCCATTGATTGAAAAAATTCGATGGTGTACTCAGTCATCATGCACGTCCCTTGTCCCAAATTATACAATTTTTGATAAATTATTTTTGAGTGGTTAAGGTGGTACTAGAAAATTTGATCGCATGTGATTCTTCATTGTTTTTCCCATGTTTTAATTATTTTTTTCTTTTCTTTTTCCCGGTCGAAAAAAGTATTCCACATCAAATTAGAACTCAAATAATGCACACTTCAGGGATATGACGTTTTCTCACCCTTGTGAATCATTCACATATCCACATTTTCTAC